TTATTCCATCGTTTGAGATCGTACTGGCTGTTTTCACGCATTTGTCTGCCTGCTCATAAAAGGATCTACTTAGATAAGATGCCAAAGCATTACTCTCTGTGGCCGCTTTGGGTCTCTGTCAAAAACCACCATATCTGTGAAGAAATTTGGTGTTGTGGACTCATCGTGGTAATCTAGATTCTCAGACATCCATTGCTATGTGCCAACAGCTCAAATTTCTCGCACAGAATTATGTCGCACCATAGTTCTGATAAAATGGGCAGCATGGCAGACAAGGATGGGCGAATTATAAACAGGCGAACTTGAAACACATGTAACGACGACGACGACAAGCAAAAAGAAAGGAGATACTGGACTGTTCTAACCCTCTTTGGGTGAATCTAGGTCAAAGCTTCACTTAGACCTCCTGGAACGTCCACATCTGCTTTGGGTCACTCTTGTCCAAGAAAGCAAGCTTGATCTACCAAATACATATCATAAGTTATTCTGTCCGTCGCATAATGAGCTTGGAACTGTACCTGGGTGTAATTGTGGTCGTCCGGAAGGAGGAGATGTCTGAAATGCAAGTAGACTCCGAATTTGAGGAATAACCGACCCGGCGCTGGTATGGATGCTAGATGAGTTTTTTGTATACGTGCATCATATGCATGTCCCTGTGAGTTGTGACCGAGCCAGTATACTTAGTATTGAAATATAGATAGGATATGCACTACGTATATCCTCCAGAACCAAAACACAGCAGAAGCGAAAATCAGTAGCACCTTCTCTCAAGCATTACAGCTCAAGAATACTCTGCCATTACAGGCTAGAGGGAGTGGCACCTCACCTCTTTCTTACTTGATTTTTTGCTGTTATTTTCGTGTTCTTGTCTTCACATTTTACATCTCTTTTGCTGTCATTCCTTCTTTTATTTTCGCATTTTCGTCTTTGTCTTTGTCTTGCTCACATTACTCCTATCATTTTCGCATTTTACCTCTCTGTCGTAGTCATTCCTTCTTTCATTTTCGCATTTTGGCCTTTCTAAGTGGCTCTTGTCCATCCTTTCAGTGTCACACTTTATATTTCGCATTTTTGCATCTCTTGCTCTTTCTCGCTCTCATTCCTTCTTTTATTTTCCTGTTTTATTGTCTTTTGACGTCATTCCTCATGTCATTTTCACATCTATCTAGCTCTCATTTCTTGTTTTATTTTCCCACTTGACCTTTATTTTCAGCTCTGATTCCTCTTGTCGGCTTCACACTTTATATTTTGCATTTTACCACTCTCTTAGATATATAGTCCAGTAGTCTACAAGTGTGTATGAGACGGTTTAAATCATTTTTCAGACATACTATTTGAAGCCAGCTGGAGAAAGGGAAGGCTCAGCAAACACCAGCAGTGACGTCTTCGGAATTGGAGCATCCCACTGCTGGTCAGTATTGATATGAACTGAAATGATGGTTACCTTGCATTTGACACGAGGGATGGTTTCCTTTTGAGAGCAGGGACGGTTTCCTTTTGAGAGCAGGGACGGTTGCCTTTTGAGAGCAGGGACGGTTTCCTTTTGAGAACAGGGACGCAGGGACGGTTGCCTTTTCAGAGCAGGGACGCAGGGATGGTTTCCTTTTGAGAGCAGGGACGCTTGCCTTTTAAGAACAGGGACGCAGGGACGCTTGCCTTTTCAGAGCAGGGACGCAGGGATGGTTGCGCCCCGTGGGAATAAAAGGAAGCAGGGACACAGGGACGGTTACATACATCTTAAATAAACAAAGGAAGGTGTGAGGTAAGGGATTACCATTTCCGACCAAAAAAGCGGCAGATGGGAAAAAAGGAAGCAGGGACGCCCCATATATGGTTAGAGCAGGGACGGGGACGTCTAGAGGGGTGTAAACGGAGAAACAGATAGATAGGGTCTCTGGAGGTCGAGAATATTGAGTTTGGTCACAGGTATGAAAAAGTCGGTATTTCGACATTATCTCCACATCCCAACCGCCGTTTTCTTTTATTCCAGGCTCCTATTGATCCTTGGAAATCCCTCTAACATATGTACCAGCCCAAGAAGAGAAAAAAGTTTTGAACTTTGAAACCTATTTCTGTTTTGACCTTATAAATTTCGCATAGTTCTTGCGACGATTTGTGACCTTTCATAGTGGGGTAAGGGAGACGTTTGACTGGAGAAAAAAGTATTGTTGTAGACTGTTGGCTCTGAGAGCAGGTGACTACGAACTTCACCGAATCGCTTAGTTTTTTCGCTGGCCGTCTGCGTTCGATTTTTCTGATCAGTTTTGTCGCTTGGACCATGTCAATAGCTTGCTTCGTTGTTGAGATAAAAATCGATCTTTGTAGCGCTACTTTTTTGCAAATAAATGCACATTTTTTTTGGAAATACCGCCGGCCTCTACCATTATGCAAACTGCTGTAACATAACCATATATTTAACCGAACCTATTTACAAGAATCCTATATAATCACAACTTCCATATCTTGCTTCAGGAGGCTACAGTTGAACGTTGAACATTCACTAATGATAGGACGCCCTGATTTCTACTGATAATACAGGTGATGCATGTGATGTTCTGGTAGAAAAAGTCAGCGTCTTTTGAGCAGGGCAACTTGCTTCTTCAGTGAACCTTACGTCATCCAGTACTTCGCTCGCCACCTTGCTTTTACAGTACTTACCTCAACCTTGTCCTTCTTGAAGGTTCTGAAGATGCGATGGAGTGTAAGAACTGCGAGCTGAGACAACGTCAGTACTATTGTGCAAATTGTCTGAGAAACCAGTATGCAAAACATTTGTCATGAAACGCAACCTGTGCTGACCTTGCCTCACATACACTGGCAGTCTACGCGATTTTCGCCTTCAAACTCACCATTTTTCCTCGGACAGAAATGAGCATATTGCTCGCGCATCCCGGGCATTCAAGTCTATTGAATCTGGTCGCCTCCTTCGTGCAGAGATTGCACGAGCGGACCACAGCCTCGACCAGTTAGCAGATAGCCTTGCCCAAGTGAGAAGAGACTGCGAGAACAGTACGTATCTTACCCTTGCTCGCATCTATTGTTCTAAACGATCTAGAGCGCGACCGCCTCCGTACCCTCCGAGAGACCCTTGCTCAACGCAAACGCACACTTCATGCTGCACGTCTCCTTCCACCCCAATCACAAACGCTTACCAAGGAATCTCAGGAGCTCTCTGTGTTGAGTCAAACTATTGCTAGAGCACGCTCAGGCCTTGTACAGGAGCTGGTAGAGGTATTTCACATTGTCGAAGTTGGGGGACGACCTGCAGTGGGCGGGCGGGCGGGCGCAAGAGGAGAATGGACTGTTGGCGGATTGGTTCTTCCAGTACCGGGAGATGTTAGACGTACGTTACAACTACTCACTATGCCAAGAATCTGATCACATAGGACATATCATAGGATATCCACCGGATCACATCAACGCCGTGATAACACAGACCATTCACTTTCTGGGGCTTCTTACTTTCTACCTAGGCATCAAACTCCCTTTTGAAGTTTCGTGGTCTTGCAGAAGATTCGGTGTCGGTATGCCTTGGATCGGAGCAGGGCGAGGGACTGAATCCTGGGCAAAGTGCGTCACTTACTGTATTTACGACTTGAGTTTTTCACTCATCATTATCTCCTCCTACGGATAGATGGACAGCCAAACACCCTCTGCACCTCACATCAAATCTTTCCTCTACTCCCTCTTCTCCCTCTTCCTCGCCATCCCCTACGCTACCCGTCTCACTAGCTGACTCAGAAGCTCCAGAACAGGTCCCAGCACATGGCCAAAACCAATCATTCACGACCGGCCTTGCGATGCTTCTCTACAACGTGTGTTATCTCGCTCATAGCCAAGGTGTCGAGATTCCCTTGTCGCAGGCGGGCGATGCATTGAGTAATTTGTGGGCTGTATGTTGCAGCGGGGAGCTTGGGCGGTGAGTCTCCGGCACTTTATTCTTGCTTCGTCGTTTATTCATTCTTTTATCCGAAATACACGTTCTTATGTTGATATCCCATTATAGTCGGTCGCACTCTACCACTCCGCTCCTCTTACCTCCAACCCCTCCCTCGTTCACGCTCGACTTTGCCCAGGTCCTTCAAGCCACTGCTGCTAGTCCTGCTCGGGCAGCACGAATACGGCCGGGACGTTCAGCGCAAGAAGCTGGCTTCAGTAATATGAGGAGTGAACGTATCGTAGAAGAGGAAGATGGCTGGGACGTGGTAGAGCTTGGTGGAGAAGAGGGATTTGGGTAAATACACAAGCTGAGAGGGACAGTCGATGAATAGATGGTGGTGACTATAGACATTTAGAATAGTTAGATTTATGACTCTGTAGGAGACCTTCAATTCTGGTGAGTACATGTATATATAATTTTCAACAATTAGTGTTAGCTTGTATCTACTTAGAAGCCTATGATGGCGCTGGCGCGCATGTATTCCGTACTCATATATATCTTACATCCTTGAGACGTGCCTGGTTTGACTACTCATAAGGCTAATCAAGACCGAACGCAAAACACTAGCGTGTCCACCCAAAGTAGCAGCCCTTGACGAATGTAGGCACAAGCACCGAACTCGGCACATGTTGCTTGTGATACGCATGAACGGGAAAAATACGTGGGATCGTCTGTCGGGACTGTCCCCTGGAATGAAGAGCATGAGTTGGGTTGGGTGAGAACGAATTACAATGCGAGGCCAAAGTGTGGTTGCCATTGGTTGGACGGTGAAGATTGCATCAAGACCTTGAGCTAGCTCCTTTTGTGTGACGCACGGGCACTTGAACGCAAGTGCACTTCACCGTCTGCTCTGACACCAAAAACCTAGCTGTAATAATGATATCGTCATTGATTCGGCTTTACTCGCAATCGATATCTCTGGTCCATGAAGATTTTCATGCCTATGTAATGACCACGAAAATAACTTGAGAATAAGTATGATGACGCTGAGTATTCGTCGCATGTCTCACCGACAAACCGAGGATGAACGTAGGAAAAATTGAGGTTATAGCTTACGCCGCTTCCCAAATCCACCCTGACCAGCCGCTGCACTTTTCCGTTTAACGCTCTCAACGAGATTCTTGAGGCTAGTGTCATCCACCCTCGCGGGGAGTCGTGCGCCTGTCTCATCTTCAGGTAGACTCCCTTTTTGGCGCTTAGTTCGTTCGTCAATAAGTGCCACCATACTTTTCGTCTTTTTGAAGCTGTGAACACATCAGCGTCATTGGTAGCGTAAAAAACAGCCACTGACCGGGGATTGCTGGGATCGATGGCGAATTGATGATCCTCGTGGATTGCCTTGAACCGATCATCTTTAACGTCGATAAGGAAGTCGTCCTGGACTTCATCATCATCGATCACTTTCTTTTTCCCCCTTTTCTTTTTGCCCTTCTTCTCCACTTTGACGTCTGACCTCGTCTCCTCGCGTGGCACTGGCTTGTCGACCTCCCGTCTTGACACTCGCTTCGCCGACCCCGATGTATTCTCTGCCTCAGATTCTCCTTCACTGCCTCTGCCACTTATGCCCTCGAAGAAGTCGTCATCGAAAGAGACTGTTTTCCCAGGCCGCCCTTCACCTTCGTTATTCGTGACTGTCGTAGCTTTTACTTTGACCTCTTCCTTTCTTTTTTTACGCTTCTCCCTCATTTTTCTTTGATATGCCTCCATTGTCGTTTCGTCGTCAAGATTTTTGGCCTCAGTGAGACCAGGGGCGAACGTGATCTCCATGTCAATATCATCATATTTTCCTGCCTCGTCATCCCGGCCCCACCCTTCTGGAAGTTCGTCATCGTCTCCGGCAAGAAGTAAAGTGCGAAGCTTGTCTCTCTGGGTGTTCTTCTTGCTCCTCCTCCTCGATACAGAATCTGGATCATTATCATTATCAGATTCAGATGACGATGCGATATATGCCTTAAAGTCGGCTTCTTCGATCTCTTTTTTTGACAGCGATCGTCTAGTAATGTGATTGCGCTCCGGATCATCGTCGTCCCACGTGAGCTTGACTTTTGAATGACGGAGAGCCTGAAAGTGCAAAATGGGTGAAAAATGAATGGTAACGATGAAATTCCCCTACATCTGTCACGAACTCTACTGCTCGATAACGTGTTCCAGGATCATCTGTCGCTTCATCGCTGTACATGGCTCCGGTTAGAGGAATGTCCACAAATAAGGTCGAAAGGGACTCACCGATATTCTTCATCGAATGCCATCTCATCGGGCACAAAACTGAGATCGAACACATTTGCTGAACGCTCAAGCTCAGTGCCTTCAAGTTCGTTGTAGATGTGCACGGCAGCTTCGGTGGTATCACATTCAACAATTGCGTAATAATACCTTTGAACATTTCATTGAACACTGCGCTAAAAATATGTAAGGAGGTAGCGCACCGTAATCTCTCCAACTGATACTTTCTCAAAGCGTCTTCGTCGTAGTCCGCTCCGTCTCCGGTTTCGTGAATCGTACGTTCATTGACATCCTCTTCATGTTCTAACTTCTTTTTGAATACCTCTACAGGTGGTCCCTCCTTCTCCTCCCTTGTGATGCGCTCTTTCCCAAACTCACTTGGATAGACGCGGACGCTCAGCACCCTCCCTCTTGCGATAGTCGCCTTTGCGCTTTTCGTGTTCTGGAGAGATGTTTCATCCTTGGGTTGCATTGGCACAGGTGTCGGAAGGATAGCAGGCGCGGCTGGCGAAACAAGTGACGAGAATATTTTGTAAAGATGCGCCGCACGGACATGGTCCCAATCAAGATTAACAACAGCTAGTCTTCGGGTCTTCTCCATCGCTTCTTCACTGTTATCCTCCGTGGCTGTCCTCACATATGCAGCAGCCTGTGCGTCCAGATCGGCAAATACGCTCTCATCAAGATCGATCTCGCCTTCTTCATCAAGGTCCCTGCCTAATGTGACAAATCCAGGGCCATCGCTCTCGCCGCCAGAGTCACCTGCATCCTCACTCTCCGCCTCTGATTCGGAGGACTCCATGAGAACACCACCACGAGCATAGTCAGGGATTTTGGGAGTTGGATCCTCTTCCTCCTCGTCTTCCTCATGTTCTAGCCGATAAAACCGCCTGAGGTTGTCCTTTTCATGAGTTTCAGAAATTTTTCGACCAAATTTATCCACTCGACCTGTAGCCACAATAGAAGAGGTGAGAAGTAGTAGAAAATGAAGTTTGAGGCGCACCCGTTTTGTCCTTTCCTTTGCCTTTTTGTTTCAATTTCTTCTTTCCCTCCTTGTCTTCATCAAAAATTTCTTTGAAGCGCTCGTCAACTACAACTTTTGAATTGTGTTTCTTGGGGCGTCGAAAACGGGGGTCAGTCTTCAACCGCGCAAATCGTGGGTCAGACATGGTGTGTCGAGCCACTGGCGACGAGACAAACCAAAGAATATATGCCGATGGGTGCTATCAGTGAGGTCGAAATGAAAACGTGACTTAGCAACTGTGCGTGAACGCTACCATGAATACTCACAAGTGAGCGCTACTTATTGTCGCGGATGGCAATCAACTCGAGCGTTTGCGTTTGGCCAAAGCGATAATTCGGAACAAATTTGAAGGATGTACTCGAGATGCACAGTATGTAGTAGATCAAATGTAGCATTGTCGACACCACGTGATTCTTCTGTTTACACTTCCTCTCGGCGCTTGGCAACATTTTACTAGCGCGAATGACGCGACAAACGACGTCTTCCGACGATGCAAAGGAAGACGGTTTTACTGGTCTACGGACGAGTATCTTTGGAACTAAACACCAAGTTCCGAAATGGGTTCCAGTGACCTTGGTGAGTTGCCCGGTCCGATTCAATCAATTGTATGGACTGGCAGTTCATATGTACCACAGCTGGCCTTTTCATCCGTAGCCCTTGTAGTGCCGATCATCATGCTGCGACGATATAGGCGTGGTGTTACTCCCCGCAATCTTCAGGAAGCTACTGCACCTCCTCGACGAGGGCGAGGATCATCAACGCTGCCTGTTTCATTGCATTCCCCTGCAATACGATCCCGTCCTGCCTCACAAACGGTACCAAGGGAGGTCCCGACTCGTCTGCCGCCTCCTAAAACATCCGTATCAAATGAAGATAACCCTGAACAATTTTTCAACGGTCCTCTGTACACCCTCAAAGCCCTTAGCATCGCTACTGCTCTTGTGACGCTGGGTGCCACAGCCTCTATTTGGGGAGTAATGAAAACTCTCAATGCTCGTGATGTGCGCCCTTGCAATGTCATGACTATTCTTTCTGAAACTCAAGCAACTTTTTCTTATGCTTAGGCCAATGAGTTTGCGGAACGTATGCGCCATGCGGTGCTAACCAAATTACCCGTCCTCGCATACCAAATATATCGTCCAGCCGAAATTCACCAAGATGATGGTAATGATTCTACGCTAACAGAAAACCCTGCTTCTGAACCTGTGGGATGGAATTGGCAAGAAGCAGAGGACCGCCTTAGAGAAGCGTTCGACAAGGGGGGGTTTCATAGCTGGGCATCAGCTGCTCTAGTAGAGGTGGAGGCAGAAGCAACGGTCGAAAGAGCAAAAAGGGGTTTCACTCAAGCCCGGGACAAGCCGACTAGTTGAGAATAACAGATCTTACTTCGAGGCGAATGGTTAGCAATCTAATGCGGGAATAGCGCATGCATATATCATGGTAGGCATAACAGATGTAAGAGAAATGTGGATCATGCAGCGACGCGACATCCTACCAAGATGTCCAATATTTTGTATGCATACACCCTCTATGCAGCCTTGGCCAGGGTCTTCCTGACGACATCCCTCCGCTGCTTCTTTGCGACCATCACGCTGAACCGCTCAAAGTCGTTCAGTGATCGTCTCTTCTCCATGGCAGCACGCTTCTTGGCCCACGTTGAGGATTCCCACTTAGCAACGGTACCCTCCTTTTCCACTTGCTTCCGGATAACGCCAGACCCTGCGCCGCGAGGAAGTTTTGTTAGAGCAATAGGGGTGAGGGTGAGGTGGCGGTAGGGGAAGGATTGGCGCGGTACGCCAGTGGTTGGGCCGTCAATTATTGCCTATACATTGGCGGGACAGTATGAGATCAGTTGGTTATTCTTGTGTATGATATCATTGTACACACCCGGTTGTGGTCTATGATCTCAGCAATGACAGCGATCTTGCCTGCAGATGGGCCAGACTTGAGAAGGACCACTGTCGATACTTTAGCTCGTTCAGTGTAGCACAAGTCATAAACAATCGTACCTCGTCCAACCTCTACGAAACGTTTGAAAGTCGAGTCCTACAAGTGAATAGCATTATTAGAATCTAATTCATTCAAGCATCCGAGAGACAACGATCGTTTGCTATGCGCCATGTGATATGAGTGTTGCACCAACGCATTGACTACATCGGATATGTGGCACCTCCATCCATCTCAAACTCGACCAGTTTCCATCAAAAACAATATCAGAAGTGGCACGATGCTTGATCAAGGGGTTCAGATGCACAGAACAGCGACTTACAGTCATGGGGAATTATTTGAGGGTGTCCGTCGACGTCGTTGACGCTGGTCGTGTAGTTGAGATGATGTGTCGGAGTTTGTCACGGAATTTGCCGAGAGGTTATTCCGTCACCCTTAGAATACCCGTGATTTATCGTGAATTGACCGTGATATATTCTAATCTCAAATTCTTACCCGGAAAATCGTAGTACTGGATAGTGTCTGGAGTGCGTACATGTGTTGCTATCAGCTGCGGCGGGAGTGTGCTAAGGAAATATGGCCCAAGATACCTCAGTAAGCACCGTGAGTTGTTGAGCGACGCTGCCATCACACACTCAAACTTCCAAGTCAGCTTCGGGCATTGACGACCGAAGTGGCAAGGTGAGCTGCAAAACAGAGGCATTGCGAAAGTAGCTGATACGGTGGTACATGAATAGTACAGGTACAAAAAAGTAGAATCAATCTTCTCTATGCTCTTGTCGCGGGTTTGACGAGGATCCTGCTTGGTGCTGACGCAAGTTTTACTACAACCCATAAAGCATATCACGGAAAAAATACGCACCTGTCTCAGTTTTGCCAGATGAATCTTCAGTGTTTCCGCATAGTTCTCAAACCCTAGAGACACCATGGCGTATAGGATATCCTCGCCTCCGATCGTTTTCCGCTTCTCCATCTGACATTTCTCAGCGGCCTCAGAAGTAATGAAACTTATAAACTCTGAAACACATTCCTGAACGCACTCCTTGGCATCCTTGGCAATCTTAGCGGTGTGTGGAACGGACTGCTTCATGATGCGGGAGACATTTGCAATCTATCAGAAAGATAAATAAGTCAATCAAGCCAGATAAACGATAGTGCGCACGGGTAGAAAACGATCCTGCTCCCGATACTCTCCCACCTCTTGGTCTGTGATGGGCGTCGGTTGTGGTGGTTCGTGTACTGTTTCTGGTACACTACCAGAGCCATCCTCCTGCGGCGCGATCATGGGTTGAATCTCTGACATTTCGACCCTTAAGTAGCCCTGAGTGTATTCAGCGCGAGCTGAAGAGAGTGTAAAGGGCCATATCCGTCACCGCCAGAACGACTTGCTGACCTTCGAAGGCGATGGAATGCCGTGAATTTCCCACCGTTGGTGGCGGTAAATTTCTAAAAATAGTGTATACTCCATCCCGAACGAGGTTTTTGAAATTGGGAGAAGGAATTGAGTTTATTATTGTAGTGATAAAGGAGCGAGAATAAGAAACGCCTAGCCATATAAGTTTCAAGCTTCAAGCTTCAAGGATGATCTGCAAGTAGAATAGCATAACAGCACGCAAGTCAAGTAGGTAGTTGCTCGATCATATCGGCCAACTGTCCTCGCAGGCGGTTTTTCAGGATATGTCATAACGCTTCAGTTGACGGGTAACTAAGGTCCTCTTGCAGATATGCGAATTCTTTACAAGAATCTCCAGCCGTGCAACAACGACACGAACATTTTGTTCCCGCCTGTCCATGCGAAACTCTCCTTGACGAGGTTGCGGATCACGACATGCGATTCTTCATCAACTTGTTGGTGTATGGTATGCCTTCTCATCCGTTGGCAGCGGTTATGCACGCATAGCCAGCAACGTGAATTTAGTATCGAGTGAAGATGCTACGTCCTCACTTCCACCAGTCCTCCATCCTCTGCTCGAGGTTCGTAGCTGCTATAACGATGGGAACCTTCTTGTGAGAGGAATCCATGAGAGAATCTGTGATTTCTCTAAGCGCAGTGGTGATTCGGCAGGCGCGAACGCAGAACAGAAGCAGGTCAACACCATCTTCCGCATCCAACGTCTTGACGAATCTATAGGCGTTTGCGACTGCCGCATGGTATCTTTTCTTTTCAAGACCCGATTCCTCAATGCCAATGGTATCGAACACCCGTTGAAGTCGATGGGATAGTCTACCTTGCAGGAGGAATAGCACGAACTCTGTGAAGCCTCGTCCCATTCTGCGGGCAAAACTGTTAGACAAGGTTGCAGACGGCGCGGTATGACTGTTCGCGGCGCTGCCTGATCTTATCCGTATCACCTTCATGAATGGTCAACGCGGTGATACAGGTGTGGCCAGCAAAGCTCATCCTGAGGTCTGAGATGGATCTATCGTCAATCCTCCACCACTATTACATTTCCAGTTCTCGGTGTTCCAGTGCTGTAACGAGAAGACGATGGGAACATTTCTCTTGACTTCGGACAATAACTTGTAGTTGCGCCGGAGCACCAAGGCGTCCTTTGTGCCCTGCACACTGCAATACACGAAGATAAGTTTGAAAGAGTTTCTTCAGAGCATTCTCAACTTGCACATTGGGTACAGTTCCCTGAGAGCCCTCGTCAAGACCTGCAGTTTAGTTCAGTGACGGGCCCACGAGAGATAGCGGATTTCACTGACCAGCCGTGTCGAATAGCTGTACCTTCGTGATCTTGTTCTGTATCACAATATCATGCTCGTACACGGTGGTTTAAGCCGTACATCCCTCGGCGTCAGATGTTGGCACCTTCTGCGTCCTGGCAATCAAGTTGATCAAGGAACTTTTACCAGCGCCTGTTTGTCTATAAATGACAACATTGCAAGTGTCCTTGCGACGTGAAGCCTCCTCAAGTTCAAGACATTTGCAGCCAGCTGCACTCTGATCTGGGGTGTGGAACTGACTTCAAGTTAACTTCATGTAAGAAAAGCCAGACACCACATACTAGTTCGGCGGACAACATTCTCCCAGCCTCAGGAAACAACAGCACCGGGTCAAAGAACATCGGCATCATTTTTATCTCGGTGGTCGAGTTGGCCGAGAAACATTTAGTAGCGCCTGTTTCTCCACTAATGACACCAAAGCTGCCTCGTTAGCAACCTCTTCGTACATAGCGAGTGTAGAAGTCAAGGCTTTATTTCCACCTAATTGTAGACTTTTACTTCGGCTATGGATTATGATCCAAGATGTTTGGCCCATCACTAAAGATGACAAGGAAGGCCTTCGTCATCGCAGGTTCATGAACCCGTTCCGTTCTCCCTGTTGCAAATGTGACTGTGATTTCCGAACTCTTAGAAGTGAAACCAACCCTAAGCTATCTGCACGAACACATGAGGTATTGACCTGGGGGCATGTAAAATCTCAGATTTGGCGTGTGCTGAAAAGGGTGCATGGAATAGCGTGTGCACGGAGGGTTCGATTGAATGCCCGAATAGTACTAGGCCTGCATTGAAGACATAAAACCTATAAGCAGATATGTTTGAGGATTGCGACGTATCACTAGGAAACACTACCAATGAGGTTCTGGTGCAAGGCCCAGATAGTCACGGGTGACCGGTGACGCCGGTGACGGGTAACCCCCAAGCCCATTGTCGAACATGGCGGTTGAACTATACTATCGGTTACCACAACTTCGGTCAACCACTGGTTCGGACACTTTTCAATATCTCACTCAACTTTACTTCAATTCATATTCTGTCTGACCACATATCACTGTACACTTATAATACACTACTGCGAAGTTGAATAATTGAAATTGGTCGAGAAATGATTGAGATCCTTGTTCAGGTGTGACAGAGCCAAAGATCACGTCTGCTTGTCACCAAGCCGAGTCTGCCGTAGCGGAGTTTCAGATCTGCCGAACCACTCACCATTGATAGGATCTTGGACAGGGCATGGGGCGCGCTCGGGGCAAGGGTGCCCACACTCCAACTCCAAGCAAAACAATCCAGCGCGAGTCGCGGATTCAAGAAGCCCTTGGTGGAGTCCAAGGAGGAACGTATAAGAGCTATAGGGCAGCAGCAAAGGCTCACCAGGTGAGTCTGGGATAATCTGTGCTTCGATGAACATTTAATAAGACCTCACATCTTTTATTTAGGTTTCTTTCCAGACTCTACATGATCGTGCAACCGGGCGCCACCAATCAATTCAAAGTGCTGCCAGGAAGCGCCAACTGTTAAGCCCGTCACAGGAAGCCGCACTGCTGGATTGGTGCCGCCTCAACTCAAGTTTTACCACTCCTCTCCATGCTCGTGCTTTCCGGACTCGTGTGTTTGAGATATGCCATAGACGCCCTGGCCACACGGACAGTGAAGATCAACCAAAATGCAGTCACAAAAGATTTCGACGCTCCACTCTCCTCGTACAAGCTTAAGGACGATTTTCTCACTATCACACAAGCTCTCGGAGTCGCTGTCGAAAAAAAGGACACAATTGCTTCACTAACCAACAAAATCAAGACACACCTTGACGAGCACCCGGCGCTGGCAGACAATGCACGTTTTTCTGCATTGTTTCAAGTTGGAGGTGCAAAGCGTCGCACACATTCGAAACACATCCCACTCAGCAAGGACTCCGCACCTAATATCAACGCTACTAGTAGTAGCCATTCAATGTCGTCCCCCACACCACATTTTGGCTTCGGCTCGTTGCTCCCAGTCTCACGGCCACCTGCAGGACTCGAACACACATTGTATACTCCTCCTTCGAGCTTACAATATCATCCACACTCGTCAGCTAATATCATGTCCCATGGATCTTACGCACCAGCGGCACCACCTACCTACTCTTTTGCAGCACCTTCTTTTGTACCACACTGTCCCAGTCATCTACATAGTTCCTACAGCCCCTCATAAATTTGTACCGCTTTATAATGCACCTTCAATAAAACGTTTGAATTGTTTAACTTTCAGTTAGAGTAACGAACACTACGACTCGGCCTGTGCACTTGAAGGCGCTGATACCGAATGCCGAGCGGAGCTTGTTTCGGCGGATGTGACCTTGTGTTACTATCGTGTTACATTGTGTGACTGTCCGAACCAGTGGTTGACCGAAGTTGTGGTAACCGATAGTAGTTGTAGCGCAATTAGATGTTAAGAGTCTGTTCGGCCACCATTATTTGCGTTATTTGCGCAAGTTAAAATTTGGTTCTGGCTTTGCTAATCGTCGGAGCTTGAACAAGATGTCACGCTCCGATAACGCTTACCGTATGCCTTGTCCTACTATCAATACAATGCCTCTTGATCCTGATTACGACGAGGACGCTAACGAGGACGAATATGACCTTGTGGAGGCAGAGGAGATGGACGAAGATGCAGAGGAGAGTGATAAGAGGTATCTGGCATGCATCATGCAGATGGCCATGCATGCTATGCGCACGGTCATTACAGTCCTCAATGCAACAACTACCGTGCTCGAAGCTTACTCAAACACCTACTACGACAAAGAGCCGTATCATACCTCCACTTTGTCGGGGACTGCATGGGTCACCGAACTTCTCACTGGACACCCTGAACGCATCAGATGCGAGCTTGGGGTCCACAAGCATGTTTTCTATGTGCTCATCAATCTCCTTTGGCAAGCAGGTTGCAGAGATTCCAGGCATGTACTGCTCGAAGAGCAGCTTGCTATATTTCTCTATGCGTCTGTCACGGGTCTCTCGATTTGCCATCTTGGTGAACACTTTCAGCGGTCCAACAAGACAATATCAAAGTACGTATATTGTTGCTGTCCTGGTATCAAGCTTATGTTCTTTCAGGTATTTTAAACGGGTTCTTTTTGCATTCTCCTCGCCACCGATATATACGACATATGTCCACCTGCCCGACGTAGATAGCCCTCCTCCCCCTGAAATCACAAAAAACCCGAAGTTCTTCCTGTTCTTTGTTGATACTATCGGAGCCATTGACGGTACACACATCGCATGCCATCCTTTTGGTGAAGATCGGCATGCCGCTCGGGATCGCAAGGGGAACTTCTCTCAAAACTGCCTCGCGGCATGTTCATTCAACCTTTCGTTTACCTACATGTTGAGCGGTTGGGAGGGGTCAGCTGCAGATGCTCGTGTCTATCATGATGCTCGTACTACCGATTTCAATATCCCTGAGGGAAAGTATTATCTTGCGGACGCTGGTTTTGGCTCGTGCGATGAGCTTCTGGTCCCGTTTCGGGGCGTGCGTTATCATCTTGCAGAGTGGGGTTGTGCTAATACTTTGTATGATGCATTCTGCTAGTACCATTCATACTTATGTTCACATTGTTACATAGGCCTCGTAATCGCAAAGAACTTTTCAATTTGCGTCATGCAATGCTTCGAAATGCTGTTGAGCGCATTTTTGGTGTCATCAAGCGCCGATTTCGTATCCTTCTCTTCTCCTCCCACCAGAGTACAAAATGGACATTCAAACGCGCATTCTTCCTGCCTTGTGTCTCGTGCACAACGTTATTCGAGTTCACGATCCAAACGACATGATGGACTATCGTAATGTCTTAGATGCGCACATTCTCACTGACACTGGAAACCTTGCTAACGGTCCTCCTACTGAGTACGCACGCACTCGTGCGAGCCTCCGTCGTGACCAGATTGCTAGTGAGATGTGGGAGGCCTACAACAGGGAAAGGATTCAGAGGGGGGAGCAGGCACTCATAGAACCACTAGTACTGTAGTCGCGTTAATACCATAGCCATTCGGACCCTCATCGATGACTATGATCCAAAGTATCTCAGTCAAATGATGACATTGTTGTCAGATTAAGACTGGATCCTCATCAATGACTATGATCTATAGAAATAGTGATATTGCTTTGCTACTACAAGTACAATACAAGAGAACATGACACGACAAGAATCCATGTAACACTACTTTGAATGCTGCTCTAAAAACAACCGCCAAAGACTATCTACCTCAATAGCGAGATAAATATCAATGATAGCGATGTCGGTCTGAAATTTATTCAAGATATTGAGTAGTTGTATGTCCTCTAGACCCTCACTCTGCAACTTTTTCACCGCCTTCTGCCTGCGCAAAGGGATGGGATCTACTGATCGCGCCAAGGTGTTGGAGGTGTTGGCCTCAAGAGCATTGGCCGTGCGCTTGAACATTGTGTTAAGACCGCCAATACTGGTCCCCATCTGCTGGATGGCCACAGGCATCGTCAGGCGTGCAGACTTCACCGAGTCTCCCGATTTCGTTGAATGTGGGGGGCGGGTAACGATATCAAGCGTACTTTCATCATCATCAATCAGCTTCCATTTACCGGAAGCTGTTGATGATGGCGCACTGACACAGACCGACTCAAGGGAGGGTTGCTGTTACGACGTTAAGCCATGTGCGAACTGGGATGATCTAACAGCGACGATCACGACAGTGATACCACGTGCTGAGAGTCTGAAGGTCGGCTCCTACAGATAAGTAAGAGTTGTGTATGCTCGTGGAGGCGAGCAATGATAGCAGATTACAGGCAGAAGGGGCTTCAGGTCCTTCTGAAGGTACAGATCTGATGTCAAGCAGGTAGCTTTAGCAAGACAAAGGTTTTGAGGCAAAACCCAGTAGGATTAAAGTAAGGAACATCTACTTTAATCGTCGACCTTATATAAGGCTACTCTGTCGTATCTAAGCTCAGCTTGAAGCTGGGTTCTAATCTGCTTATCTATCGAGTCAGAGATACCATGCATGAGGCAGGCTTCTATCTTGATAACATAAATAGGTCTTCTAGACCTATGTCGTCAAGTGTTCGTCATCGCAGTCCAGACCGCTTATCTAAGCCGGCATCTTCCGGGCTTCTCTTCTATCTGTCATCAAGGCCTAAAGGCCCGGTTATCGTGTCGTCGCCGTGTGAGGTGGCAGAGGGCTGGTCGAGTAGCTGGGGGCTCTCGTAGTGACTGTAACAGTTGCTGTGCGGCATTGAATGGAGGGAGGCTCTCTGGGGTGAGGGGGGTTGCGCGCTGGCTGCCTGAAACAGAGCCAGGGAACTCAATCCCATCGAGCGCATCTCCAAGGTCCATCATATGGACCTCATCAAAAGAAAGGGGGGTGGCTGCGCTGCTAGAAGAAGAAGGCAAAGGAATGATGGGAGGTTGTGTCGCGATGGTGGCAAAGAATGAGTTGTTGTTACCTGACTTGACAGGTATGAGACCTTTCAGCGCCTCATAGTGCTTCCAACCCTTGTCCCGGAGGCCTTTGGCCTTTGGATTTTTCTATTGATTCATAGTAATTAGCATTGTCGTAGTAGTTTGATGCGAATTGAAATCACTTTACCTTCACAAAGTCGGTCCACATGTTTTCGGACTCTGGGGTGATCGAAGCTCCGCGTTCCATGCTGTAAGATAGTCCGGAAGCGTTGGCCACTTTGTCGACGACGTTGAATGTACCACGGAGCTGAAATTTGATCATTAGTGAGGGTACCAAGGCTGATATAGTAGTAGTACATACCCGCCCCCATTTTGATTGACATGCTGCCGCTGTTTTGCTTGCACCCGAGCAGAGGTGTTTTTCCATTTCAGCGGCAGCAGCAACCCAAAATGTGTGATCAAAGTTCATACCATCACCACCTTGTGAGCAGTTGGTGGTGACATACTGGATGAGGATGGTTTCATCTGCCTCCGTCCACACACACCGATCTCTCGATTCCATTAGCTCTGCACCACCACGGGCACTTTTTCTCCCCCGAGACATCCTGTAAGAGTTGCAATGATGGATAGATTGTAGATGGGTAACGGGCATGCCTACTACTTAGTATTGATTGATGGTCACACTGTGATCAGCACAGTCCTATGATTATGAAAGCAAAACATAGATTCCAAACCTGCATAAACTGGCGCAAATATTGGTGGCCGAACAGACTCTAACTGAGTTTGAAAATATAATCATAGAGAAACACACTAACTCAGCCAAACAATCTGCTTTTGGCAGGCACCTTGACCTCTGACACTATAGCAGTCAACCTGAGCTTATCACCATGAATCCCACTCAACTGCTGCCAGCAGAGAAGCATAAACGCGGTCGTCCAAAAGGGTCAAAGAATGGACCCAATGCGGGCACTGTGGGCCATCCAGTTGGACACCCCAGGAAGGATGGAATTTCATGAAACACACCAGGTGAGCTTCGAAATGTGACCTTCATGTGCAACTTGCTGCTAACATATATCCTGTGTAATCTGTAGCATCTTTACATTCTACCTCTCAGGCTGCAGAGGCAGGGAGTCATCATAGTGACACCAGGCAGCCAGGTAAGTCATTTTCACACCAATGCCATCTGTAGTGCTGATATGCTCTGTCTTTAGTGGAACCACGCACTCGTGACTCGGAATTGAGCACAAGCACCAGCCCCGCTCCGTCTGGACGTGAGTCATCCCACGCGGACTCGGATCAATCATTACGTGCGCCAACAAGCACAAGTGTCATTCATGGTGAGTTTCAACATCGAAGTCATGAATTTGTGCACTGATTTTGATATTGATATGCTAGATATCTTTGATGGAGAGTCGGACATTGAGCCAGTGCGAGTTGTTCCGCAGCCAAGCACTGCTCCTGCGTCAAGTGGTGCGCGCAATCTTCAGACTCGTAGTGTGATTGACGACTCAGGTATGTACAACTGATCAATACTATATTTGAGAAGTATTTACTAACAGTAACTCTTATGCTTAGATCAGGCTGCAAGCTGCAATAATTCACCGAAGCAATCCAACAACCAGCTGCTCTGTGACTACGATGACGATGACGATGATGATGACAACTTCTTTTTCGGGGCGGATGCAGAACTCAAGTGCATGATTGATAAATTTTCTGCCATCGGTGACGACAACAACAACATTATTCAAGATGTTCCGACCACGGCAGCACCTGATTCACCATTGCCAGAACATGCTTCCTCAGCCAATGGTACCAAGACCAAGGTACTGCATGCAACCATGCCAACATGGCTTGCAGACAAGTATGCAGATGCCCGCACTCGTCTTGATTCTGAAATCGCAAAGACCGGGAGACCAGTGTGTTACGAGAGTGGGCAGTTCACCATGACTGCACCTCCACTGGTATTTTCCTGTGTCATCCCTTTTGAGATTGAGCCCTGAGACTTCTACCGGCCGCATTTTTTTGTATGGCTGCCCCACCTCTTCCAGCGCATCCCTTGTCCAAATTGCAAGGATGCAAACTGGCGGTCCAAGAGGGGGCAGCCAGTCATGCTTCGCGTTCTCAGCTGGCCACAGCAGCCACGGCGCGTTGTTGATCTTGAGCACTTGGTGTTCATTATTGGACACCAATATTATTGTGGGCATGAGGAGTGCAAGACATTTCAGAGCTGGTTGCCTACAATCTTGCAAGCCATACCACCACCACTAGCAGCCCTCTTTCCATTCCACCTAACATATTGAAGTGGCCTGACAGACCGCTTGGTTGGTGTCTTGCGAGCCTCATTTCAGAGGGGTATTGGGCCATCACCTTTCACCAAGAACATACAAATGATGCACATTCGCCATTACGAGCAGTTGCATGTTCAATACCTAGAGACCGTCTGTCAGCGCATGCAAGCAAGTGCATCTGGGCTCTTGCCACCACATCAACCCTTTCCTTGCTGGAATGACCCCAGTGGATATGCCGGATATGTTCCTATGCACCAATTTTTTCGATGTTTTTATAACTCGCTCATTGAATGACATGCTGCGGAGATGGACCAACATATGGCCATGCAGTCTGCTGAAACACTCAGTCATGACCATAGCTTTAAGGTCCGTCTACATGATTTATTCAAAGACTTATTGACTCAGAACAGAACAGGTGACAGGCATTCTCAGTAAAGTCAATGGTGTGGCAACATTTGGTGCCCTCCATACTGCCTGCAATGACTATGGCGAGTGTCGCAAGATGACACTCACGCCAACAAAGGGACATGATGACTGTATGCCTGCCCTTGCCAAGATTCCTGTGACACTTGCGAAATATGGGCATGCACCTGTCAAGATTCTATTCATGGACAATGTCCACGGTGATAAGTCAGCCCTCGAGAGAGCATTTCCTAGTCTTCTCTACAGTGTAAATCCTGTTCCGAGTTCGGGATTGGAGGATTTAGTAGTACCTGATGGTTGGCATGTATGTCATCTTGGGACAACCTATCAGATCAATAACCGAATGAATTGCCTCATGGATGAGCTACAAGTTGATGCGGAAAAGGAGCTGCATGTTGCATTTGACCTGGAGTGGCCAGTAGACCGAGAGACAGGAATATATGGCAGAGTTTCCCTTGTATCATTGGCATATGATAAGGCCATCTACCTTATTCCGGTATGCTTGATGGTCTGCAAAACTTTGCTATCATTTCTCACTAAAAATCACAGATCAGTCAATATGTGCAAGACAATGGATTTCTGAAGCTGCCATCATCCCTTTTGGTAGTCTTGCGCTTGAAACGAGTCCGCAAAATTGGTGTCCAAGTCAAAGCAGACTTAACTCGCCTATACAAGGACTGTGGCTTCAATGCTGATTCCACGAATGAACAGCCATTCATTGGTGCTCTCGAACTCGGGTCAATGGCCAAGGATCGAAATGTGACGGATCACATGCGCGTCAGCCTTGCAGACTTAACAGCACTTGTGCTTCACCGAAATCTGCCAAAGGACGCATCTATTCGAGTTAGCACAAAGTGGGATGATCCTGTGCTGTCACCAGAGCAAGAGAAATATGCCGCATTGGACGTCTATGCAGCTTCAGCTATTTTCGAGTCTTTCTCGGCTATCCCTTCTTGTGGTCCAGTGACATTGTCAATGCCAGTCAGCACCCAGGTTCAGCTCATGTCACGAAATGGAGGACTTGCAGTGGCATATGGCCACATAGCTCGTCACCAGCCAAAACAGCTGGATGGGGTAAATGTATCAAAAACTCGTATTGTTATCACTGTGACGTCCATCCTTGTCCCTGCCTATCTTGTTCGAGCAGATCTGCGACCTAACCATCAAGAAACCCCAATTTCGAATCTTGCTACTAAATCACCCTTCCCGCTGCTGTGCTATCAACGGGATCTTCGAACATGCACCAGAACCAGTGAGACAACACCGCAGAATAGCACCAGAATACTCCCATCATCACCATATGAGCCTCATGATTCACCTTATCTTCAAGTTGACGAAATCGAGGACTCGGAGCCTACAACAGACTTGGATGTTGGCGAGTGGTTATCACATGACAGAGATTCTGGTGTCCCAGAACAGTTGGCCAGTGACGCAGAAAAGGACCTGCATGGGCTCTCTCAGATTGAATCACTCGTGGAACTTGTTTCCTGTAATGTCACCATTGAGAGCAATGAAGTACGCTCTCGAGTTCTTGGGGATATCTGGCACCTCATGGACCAGTTTAAAATTTCCATTCACCATGGTCTCCACCGTCCTTTCAGCTGTGCCCTTCAAGATGCTATATTCTTACCAGACCCTGTAGATCTTGCTGCTGTCGAAGAAGTACTGAAAAAGAGGAACACATGTTTTCGCCAGATGGTCCTTACCAACTCGGACTGGGTGTGGCAGCGCATCAAGCAGCTGGTTCCACCTCCAGAGATATTGGCACCTCATGTCACTGAAGTACTGCAGACCTATGGCCCACTGAAGGATGCCGTGACTGGCCAGCCTCTTTTCAATGATGCATCATGGGAGAAAGCTCGTCTAGTCATCGAGAACATTAAATTAGGTTACTACTCAGATCCCCCAGGTCACCATTTCTACACATTGCAGAGAACGGACAAGCTCGGTCTCAACATCTATCGATGCTCATGTGGAACCAATAATGTTGAGGGCGGGATTCATCAGAACATCATCCGACGATTTGGTTCATTCAATGCATCACCCCAGTTGACCGTGAATTTACTTCGCGACTACACATTGACACATAATCTTGAGGTGTGCTTAACATTATCAAGTACTAGAACATTGTACTCAATTACTACAGGTCGGCACCGTGAATCGAACAGGAAAAATCTATCTCGGCTCTTATGACATCTGGACTCGCAACCAAATTGCACTCCTTGTGGATATTACTGCCAGTGTGGTGCGGCCGTCATACCAGGAGTGCGGTCAGGCGACTTGGCTCAATGGAAATGATTTTGAGCCTGCAAACGAGTCATTCAGCATCCTACCTGTTGCTGCAGCCACTCGTGCCAAACTAGGAATGAGTCAGTATCGAGATGACTATGCAAAAGGTTGTAAGATAAAGCATGAATACCTGGCGAGGCACCAGCAGACTCTTGTTGCTATTCTGCCGATCCATACTGTGGAGGAGAAGGCTTTGTACCGCCTACTCATCAAGAGTGTCACAGGTCAGTTTGCAGGGCGGAAGCAGCCAAACTGGGTAGCTCTTGCACAGGAGTGGCAGCATCATGCAAATGGCACTCACATATTTTATAAGGTGCATATAGCACCATCCATCGCCAGTCATCCACATGCTCATTTCTTTCGCAAAGCTTCCTGAACAACTCAAGTCATATTATAAGACCTGGAATGAGCACCAAAATGAGCATAACTCAGTCGAGCAGAACAATAGCGCTTACCTAGAGTTGCAAAAGCTTCTTGCAGCACCAGTTGGAATGCCTGAAATTACACCGGCTCCACGTCAGACGGTAGCCGAACAAGTTGATGGCCATCAGGCATCAGCAAACGAGGAGCCAACTGACTGGCAGATTAGCATGATGCTGGGTCGGAATAGTTCCCGCCAGACCCTACTGCAGTTGCAGTACAGCGACCCTGCACTCCCAGGACCTCATGGACAAAAGCGGCCTGCAGAAGAAGAGGCAGTTGCACCCGTTAGAGTGAAACAGCGCGCGCAAAGGACATGCAAAAAGTGTCATAAATCTGATTGTCCAGGAGTGTTCAAGAGCCAGCCCTGCAAATACAAACAAGTAAGCATTTTATGCTCAAGTGCTATCAAAGAAATGACGAGGGAAAATTTTAGTCGAACATCAACAGCCAGCAGAGACTTGACGCACCACAACGAAACATTCGAAGTCACACGAACGCACAGCTGGCGTCGGAGCCCCAATCAGGAAGCACATTTGCCCAGTCACCACTCGAAACAAGCACCTGGGTAAATATGTCAGTGTTGAGCGGGCAGCTACAAACACAGAACGTACCACACACCATAAACATGCCGCCCTACTACATGTATTTGCACCCTCCAAGACTGGCGCTGGTGCTATATCCTGGCTCGAGCTCTGAGTCAGCAGTCTTCCGCACAGCAGACTCGCGCGCGCTGCCAGTGCACTGCATGTCTGACGGCTCCGTCAGAACAAGCGCAGATGCTCAGTCATCCTCGAGCATGGGTACTAGGCAGGTCAACTTGAACTTACCTGTGCCTTCTGACAGTGGTGCCGAAGGTAGAGAATGATGGGTTGAACGAGGTGGTTGAGTTGAAGAGAGTGGGAAGGTAGTAGCTAGTATTGGGGTAGTTACCCAGATTTGATGGATTCCGGGGAACCTCAGCTCTCAGTGTTTATGACATTCACATCATAATTGAGAGCCTAATCAGACCTGATGTCGTTCTTTGTAATCAGTGTTCTTGAAATATCGAAGCGTGTTCAGGTATAAGTACATCTTAAACCATCCTTCCCCCCTTCCTCCCTCCTCCCAATTTATTTTATTTTATTTTATTTAATTTTTGGAACTCGCAACATATATAGTTCAAGTGCCTCGAACATGGACACCACTCAAACACCACTACTAATCTGTAAGAGGGAGACGTAAATGACTAATTCGCAAGTATGATCCCAATAACTAATGTTAACGCTAACCATGGTCGCCAATTGGAAATCGCTCCGTTCGTATGAACGTTCGCGATGGAGTATGTTTTCAGAAATTTGCTGCCACTGACGGTGCAACCTTTTTTGCTCTTGAGCATTTCTGACCCGGAATCATTGTTTGAGAACGACGGACCCATTCCTCCCATGCCAGAGGGATATACAGCAACTTCCTCGTCCAGCTTGAAGTTGTTTGACTCTGCCACTTTGGATCGCATGTCTATGACGGACTTATTTACATGATGCGCCATTGGGTCCAAATTGGCAAGATCTGCCTTTTAACTAGCCAGTCATACCTACGAGCTTCACCCATCCGTGGCACCAGCAATAACTCTCGCATCCGAGACACCAGCAGCACTTCCTACTTCTGTGGCGCCAGCAGTAGCTCTAACATCCAAAGATGCCAGTAATATCTCCCACTTCTGTGGTGCTTACATCTGACAAAACTGACCACTTCGTACAGTCGGAGATAAATAGGGCATACTATGCGAGTCCGTAATGGAATTAGTGTCTGTTGTCCTTGATGGGGTACAGAATACCGATATCTTACTGAGTGGGGCGCGGGTGTCTCGGCACTGTTAGACGCAGGTTGTCCAGCCATGGTCTAATCAGAATCAAGATGTCTAAATAACCTTCTGGTATCCAGCGATACTGACACTGTGGAGGAAAAGTGCTGCCAGCAGAGCACCTGTAATTACAGAAATTATCAATAATACACTCTCAACAAGACAATTTCGCAGTACTCACCCATCAACGCAAACGCAGCAGAGGTCCATTGCGCATCTTTATACCCCACGAGTTGTACAGACATGGGCACGTTGGTACCGCTAGAGTTTACATTGACGCCGAGCTTGGCAGATTCCCTATCAACCACAGTGTTGAACACGATTGTAGATATAGTTAGACCGAATGTGGCACCGATCTAGCCAAAAACATGTCAGTTTAGCGTAGGACAACGTTAGTTATTTCACGGGACTTGCCTGTGTCATAGTTTGGAATAGCGCTCCGGCTACGCTGTGTTCGTGAGGGAGCGAGGTTTTGGCAAGGAAAATTGCACCGGAGGAGTACACGATGTCAGCGCCAAACATGATGAGAACTGTGGACGGGAAACCGAAAGCCCAGTATGTTACGGACGGGTCGATTAGGGCAAAAAGGATGGTAGCAGTTGCCATCAAGAGCGATCCGGTGACTGGACCACGAGTCAGCTTCGCATGCTCATATTCTACAGATAGACACTTGCCTACAATGATAACCAAAGGCACTTTAGTAACGGCGATCGCCACAAAAAAGTTGCATAAACAGCCAACGATAAGCATGGGAATGAATCGGACCATACTTTCGACCGCTGTCAACAACAGGTAGTTTTGATAATACAGCTAGAATATAGTCGATTATATCATTTCCCTGGGGAAGCGGAACGTTAACATACCTGAACCCAGAAGCTCCAGCCGAATAAAGCACCCCAGTTTAAGAATGCGATAGCGAGAATAACAGTCATCCGGCCCTTTGCTCTAGTCCAGAGCGAGAGCCTCATAAGTGGTGGCGGTGTCCACATAGATGTCGCTCTTGATGGATCCTCGTCGATGATCCGTTCCAGCTTCCACTCCCAAACCAGGAATAATGCAACCGTGATAACTCCGACGATCAGGAGCGCGATAATATCTGTCTATGATTTTAGCCAATATCGTACGTATAGCGACATTCTTACATGGGGTTTTCCATCCATCTGAAGCGTTTTCTCCTTGACCAAGTACGAATACAATCAAAACCAGCCCGATTGTGATAAGCGAAGCGCCAATCCAGTCCATACGTTTGACAAGTTCCGACGAGGAAACGTCAGCATCGAATGATATCAGACCGGAAACTCCAATGAGAGCTGAAGTTGCTGCAGCCAAATAAAATATAGAACGCCAATGCGTCCTGAAAAACAGCGTGAGAATTACAGCATATATCAATAATCATAACGCACGAGGTAAGCTCGGTCAGGACACCGCCAATAATCATGCCAAATGCGCTACCGACAGGAGCACCTGCTGCAAAGGTAGCGAATGCTATTGAACGTGCTCTTGACGGAGGGAACGCATGTGCTAGGATACCGAGCTGAGAAAGTGAATGGGTACTTTTGTATCAAAAACATCTCAGAAAAACTTACTGAGGATGGTATTGTAGCGGCGCCTCCAAGGCCTTGGAAGCCACGCAAAACGGCGAGAGTAACACCATCTGTAATGTCATTGTTAGTGGACGGAGCACGCGAACGATCGGAAAGGCACACCAACCCTGTGCAAAGCCGCAACCAAGAGAAAAGGTAGCCTGACAAAGAATACCAATCATAAACGCCTTTTTTCGTCCATAAAGATCCGCCAACCTGCCGGAGTACAAGAGAAGGCAACTCTAACACGAGATGAGCCGCCATGTTGAGATAGACAAAATAGAAGCAGCAACACACAGAACTGAGAAAATAGGCTGATACGAGCCACTGAAGCTGATCTTCCTCGATAGCTAGATCCTTCTCAATTGTAGGGAGTGAGATAGAAACAGAGGTGGTATTGGATACCTACAGTTTAAAAAGATGTCACAAAAGATCAGCAAGTGAAGGTATGGTAGACACTTACATTGACAATCATTGCGGCGGTACAAGTGACGACTATAAAAACGGAGCGCAAAAGACTACGTTGGACAACATAGTTCTTGGCCGTCTCAATATTACTTCGTGAACCACCAAATTCCTTACCAGAAGGTGTGGCCAGGTTCAGTTCCTTGGACATTACTTTTCGTGAATGTGCAGGGGAGAGACGGGAATACAAGAGCCTACAGAGCAAGTGATATCTGGGTTTTATACGGAGTACTAGCACTAAGCGTGTTCATCGCGTGAAACCCTCATTAGGCATGCGCAGGTGCTCGGTACCAACGCGTTTACTACCTTGGTCATCCAGTCTCAGTCAAGGCTTGTCCCACTGGATGTCGTACTTGTTTCAGTGTGTTTCGTACTGCAGTTTGATATGCAATACACTGTAAAGGAGTTGAAAAGTGAGGTCTAGTGAGGGAGCGAAAGGGTACGGAATTTAGTTTAGCAGTGAAATGGCCAGGCAGTTTTCGCGTGTGCGATGCAAACGTTGATCGGAGTGTGGTCGTGGATTATATAAGCTTTCAAATTTCAACCTTAATGCACAGCCACTTGAACTTACATTTTGATAGCGATGTCAAAAATTAATAGAATCATTTGCCGAGTGCTAAGAAGGGGTCATTTTCGATACTCTAGAACATATCTGAGTGGTTGAATCGATGAAAAATGCGTGCGTGTTAAACATGAGTGCGTGAGTACACAATCCAACCCGCTGATGACGTGTCTCAAGCTCTGATACTCCTACCTTTTGCTATAGTGATGTCCCGGCATCTACATTACATACTTCCAGACACCCTGTCTCGAATTCCACTGGTTCTATGCCTGACAAATAATCATTGAGCTTGTACATACGGCTGTACATCACCTGGTCGTGCATATTACGTGTGAGGTATTTTTCTTAAACTACCTCCATATAAGGTTGCTAACCATTTACTCGCACACGCAGCAAACACGCCGCCGCGCGGCTTACCGGAGCTTCGGACAAAACCTGATAAGTCCAGGCAACGATATCGTGTGCTGTTTCTGGTACGTTACCAAAGACGTCCTCCTGCGGCGCAATCATGGGCGGAATCTCTGACATTTCAATCATTAAGTTTAAGTAGCAGGAAGTGTTCAACGCGAGTGTAAAACTTTGGCCATATCTGAATCGGTCACCGGGTCTCGAAGTCACTGGTTCTGATGATGAATTCTGCCCTGAATTTCCTACCGTCAGTGGCAGCAAATTTCTAAAAATAGTATACATACTCCATCCTGAACCGTTCATATTCAAATTGGCAGAATTTGTACAAACAGAAATAAAAAAACGCCTGGTCACATATGTCAATGATGTATCCTTCAACGACGATCTGCAAGTATAAAAGCACAAGAAAACGTAAGTCAAGTAGTCACCTCCCCTTGCTCGATCACATCGGCCAGCTCTCTTGCGGTTTCTGGGGACATGCCACTACGCTTCAGTTGTCCGATAAGGGCGTTCTTTCTGATATACCGATTCTTTCCAAAAATCTTCAGTGCTTGCATCAACGCCACGAACACCTTGTTCCCTCCTGTCCATACGTCATTGTGCTTGCCAGCGATATTCCGTTTGACAAGGTCGCGCATCGCGACACGCGAATCTTCATAAAATTGTCGGTGTGTGCCTTCCAATCTGTTAGCAGCGGTTATGCACGCATGGTCAGCAACGTGAATTTGATATCGAGCGAAGATGCTATGTTCTCGCTCCCACCAGTCCTCCATCCTCTGCTCTCTTTCGAGGTTCGTAATTGCGAGAACAATGGGTACCTTCTTGTTACAGAGAAATTCATAAAAGAATCTGTAATTGCTCTGAAGCGCAGCGGTGAATCGGCCGGCGCGAACGCAGAACAGAAGCAGGTCAACACCGCCTTCCGCATCCAACGTCTTGATAAACCTATAGGCGTTTGCGGCTGCCGCGAGGTACTCTTTCTTTTCAAGTCCCGATTCCTCGATGCCCATGGTATCGAACACCTTATAAGACTCCCCTCCGAAGTCGATGACATAGTCTTGCCAATCGAGCGTGCAGCGTTGTATGCCGAGAGATGTCTTTGCTACCTCACTTCCTGCCATGAGGTTGACGACCGAGCTTTTGCCTGCACCCGCCTCCCCAAAGAGTACGATGTTTTTAGTCCTCCTAATTTATCGATGTTTAGCAAAGTACGGCATCTGGCGATGAAGTACGTACCGCATATTAGGCATCCCCGTCCCATCATGTGAATAACACTGTGCGATAAGGTCGCAAACGGCGTGGTATGACTCTTCGCGGCGCTGCCTCACTCCATCTGTACCACCCTCATTGATGGTCAACGCGGTAATACACGCGTGGCCAGCAAACTTCATCCCCAGGTCTAATATGGATCTCTCGTTACTCCTCCACCACTCTTCCATGTCTGGTTCTCGGTTTTCCAGACCTGTAACGACAAGGACGACAGGGACTCTTGCTTTCACTTCGGAGTCGATTAACTTGTAATTGCGCTGGAGCGCCGAGGCGTCGTCTGTGCCCTGCACACAGTACACGAGAAGATGAATGCCCCCTTTCGTCATAAGGGTTCTAATGAGCTTCTTCAGGCCCATCTGGGCTTGCTCGTTGAGGTCTGTTCCCTCAGAGTCCTCATCAAGACCTGCGATCCAATTCAATGACACCCCATAAAGAGTGACGAACTACACTGACCGGCCGTGTCGAACAGCTGTACCTTTACGATCCTGTTATGAGCCACAGCATCATACCCGTACACGATGGTTTGCCTTGTACATCCCTCGGCGTCGGGGGACGTCGGCACCGCTGTAATCAAGTTGACCAAAGAAGTTTTACCAGCGCCTGTTTGTCCAAAAATGACAACATTGCAAGTGTCTTTGCGACGTGAAGCTTCCTCGAGTCCAAGATATTTGCAGGGAACTGCACTATGATCGGGGGTGCGGGACTAACTTCGAGTTAACGTCACGCTGAGAGAGAGCGGACACTACATACGGGGGACGATGGGCTGTTAGGATACGGTGTGTCGAGGTAGCACGCCAGCACCATTGCGTAACTTGACATCAGACCGACTTGGATGTTATACCGAAAAGCACTAGTAGTGTCCGTTCCTCGAACAATCTCAGAGTGGGAATTCTCGACTGCATGGGAGCTGCTGTGAGTTACCCTGTAATCTGGGGTGTGGGACTGACTTCGAGTTAACTTTATACTGAGGAAGAGCAGACAATACATACAGTGGACGACTCGGGTGAGCTCGTAGGAAACGATGCCATTGCAAAGATTGAGGACAATGAAAGGAGTATTTTGACTTGTGTTGCAAGTGGATGTTTTTGAATGCCAATAGTCTTACCTTCAGCTATGATTCATTAAAGCCTGATACATCCAGGCGCCAGGTTGAAAGACCGATCCCAGCGCCTGGATTCAGCATGTTCCAAGCAGGCATCGACATGCGGACGGCGGCATAATAGTATATTACATAATATTATGTAAAACGTCACGATATCTATCTATCGTAAGGTCATATACGTATGGCTCACTCACTTTCCGCTAACGAAACGTGACAAAGCGTTACTTTTGTTTGAAATGTTAATGGCAATTGTAAAACACCTATTTTGCAAAAAGAAATCGCGCAGGGTTCTTTGTATTTACACTGCGCATAACGCTGCGCGGCTGTATTTTTGAAATTAAGAAAATGAATGTTATGAGCTGGGGCCATGTCAAGCGGAAGGACATCGAGTCCTCCCCAATTCTATTCTGGCGGAACTCGAGAACGCTGGGCTCTGACTATTACAACTCATACGCTACACAATATTAGTACTAGTGTTTCGGGTCACAGCTAGTCACAGTGTCACATGTCATCACACGTTAGCGGTGAGCCATACCTTAAGAACGGAGCGATTTCCAATTGGCGTCGACGCCATGTGCGCGCTCCACTTTAGCTTGTAATAGATATAATAATTAAAGTGACCAGACCGCCTGTCACTCGATGTCCGCCGATCAGGCCTTCGAGCTGAATTCAGGACCGTTTAATATTACATATCGTTGACATACTATCGTACGAGTTGTTCGGAAATTTGGGCTCGCTACCTTTACAAATTACTGGTATCTCTACTACATCCTAGTAGTACTGTAATGTATCATGATCGTACCCAGCAGCTGCCCTTGTCGAAGCTTCCACTACTTACTGTCATTGGTAGTACATGCTACTACACAGTATATGCTATTAGAATATTTGCCCATTTGCACAAGCATCTACTTGGTCGAATTCTCTTCTGCCTGCTACTGAAATGCTCACGCCCTCTCATTCAGGCCCTTCAGCAGGCCGCATCGGTCTTTAATTATAAGTGGACTGAGACCTTTCTGCTCCACACATGCTGTCATGCCCTAGTACCTTCGCTTGCAAGTTTCCTGCAGGCAATTTCCCGAGCCCGTAACAACCGATCTGAGTCTACACACGATCGGGCAAATTCTGACCCTGGACAACGAGTGCATTCCAGATCATACATTGATACCTACACAAAAATACACTACAGATCATGTTTTTACTGCTTACTAGGTAAGCTACGAATCTCCCTAACAAATCAGCTGAATCAATTAGACCAATACGGCAGTTGGCCGAAGTTGATTACTCCCCCGGGAACCGAAGTTTCCCACAAATATCCTACCATAATGAGCTTGTACTAGTACAGACAGACTGTATCATCGTCACGGCGTTCCTTGTCATTCTCACATGCATTGAGCATGCTGTATCCAGGAGTCGGGACCGATGTTCAAATCTGGCGCCTGGAAAGTTGTCACGCCCTAAGTAGTCCTCTGACCGGTCTGGCTGCTAATACTACTGGAGGGACTGAAGGTTGAACCAGGGTCCTCTGGCCTTGATGCATTCAGAAACTAAGTACGTGATGCATCGCAATGCTGTTGTTACATGCTTGGAACACGTTGAATCCAAGCGTTGGGATCGGTCTTTAGATCCGGCACCTGGACACGTCACATTCTAACGAATCGGGGACTAAGGGCAAGACTGTCGACATTCAAAAACACCGACTCGCAATGCAAGTCAAGACACTCATTTGTTGTTTCCGATTCAATCGCAATGTCATCGACTCCTGGGAGAGCATCGTCCACCGACTCAGTATGTGGTGCCTGGCTTTCCTCAGCATGAAGTTAACTTGGAGTCAGGTCCACACCTCAGATCAGAGTGCAGCTGGCTGCAAATACCTCGAATACGAAGAGGCTTTATGTCGCAAAGACACTTGCAATATTGTCATTTATGGACAAACAGGCACTGGTAAAAGTTCCTTGATCAACTTGATCACCAAGAAGCAGGCGGCGCGGACGTCCCCCGACGCCGAGGGATGTACAAGGCAAACCACCGTGTACGGGCATGATGTTGTGACTGAGAACAGGACCTTAAAGGTACAACTGTTCGACACGGCCGGTCAGTGCAGTCTGCTATTTTTTGTGAGCGCCACCAAACTAATTTACAGGTCTTGACGAGGGCGCTCAGGGAACGGTTCCCAATCCGCAAGCTGAGCATGCTTTGAAGAGACTCTTTCAACCTCATATAAAAATACATATCATTATGTACTGTGTACAGGGCGTAAAGAATGCCCCGGCGCTCCGGCGCAACTACGACTTATTGTCCAAATTCAAGGGAAATGTTCCCGTCGTCCTTGTCGTTACAGGACTGGAAGACCAAGAACCGGAAATGGAAGAGTGGTGGAAAAGAAACCAGGCATCCATCTCAAAACTTGAGATGAAATTTTCTGGCCACGCATGTATTACCGCGTTGACCATCAATGCAGGTGATACAGATAAGGTCAGGCAGCGCCGCGAAGAGTCATACCGTGCCGTCTGGAACCTTATCGAACAGAATCGCCCGATGTACGTGCTTCATCGTCAGACGCGCATTATGCCGTATTTTGCTAAACATCAATAATTAGAAAGAATATCGTACTCTTTGGAGCAAGCGGAGTTGGCAAAAGCTCAGTCGTAAACCTCATGGCAGGAAAGACAGTAGCAAAGTCATCTCCTAGCTTGGAAAGATGCACGCTCCGTTGGAAAAAACATGTCATCGACTTTGATGGGGAGTCTTATAGGATGTTCGATACCGTTGGACTCGAGGACCCGCAGCTTGGAATTCCAGACTACCTCATGTCCGTCGACAACGCTTATAGCTTGGTCCAGGAATTGGATAACCAAGGTGGCATTGATCTGCTTCTGTTCTGCATTCGCGCCGGCAGAATGACCGCCACTCTTCAGAGCAATTACCGGCTCTTTTACGAATTCCTCTGCGAGAAGAAAGTCCCCGTTGTCCTTGCTATCACAGGCCTCGAAGGAGAGAGGAGGATGGAGGACTGGTGGGAGCGAGAACATCACCACCTTGACAGATATCAGATCCACGTTATGGGCCATGCGTGCATCACTGCCGCTGATGGGCTGCCAGTCGGCACACAGATGGGAGACCACTATCAAGACTCGCGCCTCGTGATTCGCCAACTTGTCAGGCAATATGTTACTGACGGGCCAAAGCCACCATGGATAGGAGGGAACAATCTGTTCATCTCGTTGATGCGCAAGCTAAAGGAGCTACTTACAGGGGGTTCACATGTGAGACGCAAGGATCTTGTTCCTCATCTCATGAAGCGTTGTGGGGTACCTAAAGAGGTCGCTAAACATTTGGCTGATATGATAAAGAACAAATAATTTTGATACCCGGATCCGCTTGTTGACTTTGTCCTTGTCGATACGTTACATATCACTCAGCCCATACCGTTATATAGATATATTTTGAATGGACTATCAGTCAAGGAATTGGACAGGCAAGGCGATATTGATCTGCTTCTGTTCTGCATTCGCGCTGGCAGAGTGACCGCTACTCTTTAGAGCAATTACTGACTCTTTCACAAATTCCTCTGCGAGAAGAAGGTTCCCGTTGTCCTTGCGATCACAAACCTCGAAAGAGAGGAGAGGATCATGATGGAGGATTGGTGGGACCAAGAACATGATAACAAGAACACGACAAATATCAGATCCAAGTCGTTGGTCACGCGTGCATCACTGCCGCCAATGGACTGCAAGCTGGCACACAGATGGGCCATGGCAGACCGCTATGAAGAATCGCGCGTCATAATCCGTGAACTCGTTGAACGGTTTGCTACTGATGGGCAGAAGCAAGCATGGATAGGGGTGCATAACCTGTTCGTCTCGTTAATGCGCAAGCTGAAGGAGCTAGTACTCACAGGGAGTTCGCATGTGAGACGCAAGGATCTTGTTCCTCGTCTCATGAAGCGTTGCGGGATATCTCCAGATGTCGCAAAACAATTAGCTAATATGATCAAGACTAATTTCGATACCCAGATCCGCTTACTTACTTTGTCCTCGTCAGTACTTCACTTACTACGTACGTACGTCCCCGACCCTCACGTTAGTGGAGGGTGAATGTAAGGCTTATGGAAACTCTAGGTCTGGTCTACGTAGAGTCCACTCTGGGTCCTGTCTGGGTCCTGTCTGGGGGTGTGCCAGCCGCCCGGCCAGATCAAAGCGGAGTTTAATCTCTAATTGGGACGTTCGAAGTATGACCAAGCTTGAGAGTCATGCGTGACAACTGCGTCAGCCCCTAGCTTGTCAACATTCACCACGATGACCGTCGTCGTTGCCCGTACATATAAATTGAAATGACATTAGTATATATAAAAAAAGTGCTGATGCACAGGGTGGGGTTTGATGCAGCATGTGGTAGGTGTGACACGACGATGTCTGGAAAGATTTGTAAGCAGGTTCGGCAGTACCCGTACGGGTATCGGGTGCTCGACACTTCAACCCATACCCGTACCTGTGACCCGCACAGGTTACCTAAACCCATGCGGATCCCTGGGTGGCGGGCAAGAATGTGGGGTGGCGGGTGTCATCAAGATGAGGGCGGGGTGAGCTAAGTCACAACTTAAAGCTTAGTCACATCGTCCCGATTTGGAGTTAAACTCCGCTTTAATATGGCCAGGCAGCTGGCACACCCCCAGACAGGACCCAGAGTGGACTCTACATAGACTCTACGTAGACTAGACCTAGAGTTTCCATTTCCCGGACGTCCTCAGTGGAGGGAGGGCTTTGTCGAACGCAAACGGATTCCCATCACTAACAAGATGTGCGAGAATGCTGTGCACCCTTCCGCATATAGCCGTCCAGCGGTAGTGGTATCTCAAATGCCCGATATCCAATACATGAGGCTACAGTTACTTGTTTTGTTTGAAGTTGCGACGTGCGGGAACAAACGGAAGGCTAGATAAAACGAGTGTATACTAGTGAAGTTAGTAAAGGAATGAACTATAGTAATGAATGTCTTACCTCAGTCGCGTACTCATAGTGTAGCGGACTGAGGTGTGAGTAACTCTAATGTGACTATGTACTTGCGTGATTAGGTAAGCTGGTACTCGACGTACCGATAAACAAATTATTAACAACACGCCCACTCGGTGAGTTATCAGCTATCAACACACTCCCATTCCTCCCATAAACCAATCGTGCTTCTCTCGTCCAAGGGCCTTTGTCAAAACATCGGCGACTTGCCAGTTCGTCGGCACATACTTCAACTCGATCTCACCATTGTCAACTTTCTCGCGGATGAAATGATAATGAATCGCGATGTGTTTCGTGCGGCTGTGGAAAACGGCGTTCTTTGCGAGTGAGATAGCGGATTGGTTGTCGATCAGGAGGCAGATTCTTTGGGTTGGGAGTATTTGGATTTCACTTAGAAAAGTATGCATCCATATTGCTTCTCTCGTTGCTGATGCTGTGGCCATGTATTCAGCTTCTGTGCTCGAAAGAGCAACAGAGTCCTGTTTCTTCGACGACCAACTCACAGCTCCGCCTGCCATTATGAACGCATACCCAGTGATGGACCTTTGATCATTCACGTCTGAGGCCCAATCCGCGTCAACATATCCGATGGGAGTAGCGCTGTCTTTTCCTCGAAAGGTGAGTCGTTTGTCTGCTGTTTTGCGCAGATAACGGTAGACACGCATCAGCGCTGTCCAATGTTCTGGTGTGGGCTTTGCTGAGTGTTTGCTCAGTGTGCCCACTGAATATGCAAGGTCTGGACGTGTCGCGAGCATCGTGTACATCAAGGCTCCAAGCGCGCTTTGGTAAGTCCTTGTTTCCATCTCTGGATCTTCAGCCTTGACTAGCTTGGTATTAGGATCCATTGGTGTTGCTATGGGCCTCGCATCTTGCATTCCGAAACATTCGAGGATCGTTTCAATGTATCGCTTTTGCGATAGATGAATTGTTTTCTCCTTTCGGTCCCTAATGATTTCCATGCCCAGAATCCATCGTGCTTCTCCAAGGTCTGTTAGATTGTACTCGTCTTTCAACTCCTTCTTCAGCTGATTTATGAGTTTCAGATTGTTTGAAAAAATCATCTTATCATCAACATATACTGCGACTATGACGAATTTTTTGTCCTTGACCTTGTAGAATATGCTGTGCTCGGATTCGCATCGCGTATAGCCGAGTCCCTCGAATACGGTCCGGAGTCGTTTGTACCAGGCCATGTGTGCCTGTTTCAGACCATATAACACTCATTTGAGCTTCCAGACTCGGTCCTGTGAGTCACGAGAACCTGGGGGCATCTCTAGGTATATCTCCTCGTCTAGCTCACCATTAAGGAATGCTGACTTTACGTCCATCTGATGGATTTCTAGATCGAGTTTTGCTGCTAGTGCTAGGAGAATCCGGATGGTTGAAAACTTTGTGACCGGTGTGAAAGTTTTGGTATAGTCGATTCCTTCAACTTGGGTAAAGCCTTTAGCAACCAACCGGGCCTTGTATTTGTCTATTTCGCCGGTAGGTCCCTGTTTGACCTTGTATACCCACTTAGAATCAACAACTTTCCGTCCCTTCGGTCTCTCAACTTCCTCGTATAGGCCGATCTTCTGGAAGACTCTCAGTTCTTCCAGCATGGCGGCTTGCCATAGGTCTGCATCCGGCCGGTTCACTGATTCTTCGAATGTCTTAGGATCTTCGGCCATCTCCGCATGGTAAGCACGTTCTTCATCCACAAGCTCCTTCTCACTCTCATACTCATCCACAAGTTCCTTCTCACTCTCATACTCATCCATGACAGCACCCTTTTCTTCTTCATTCTTGATGGTGTCTTCTTGGTGAGTTTTGAGTGTTGGTTTCTCATATGCATTGACGAAGTAACAAGGATCATCGTCAGGGACTGGTTTCTTTCATATGTGGTTCGATCGTCTGGCTTCGCGTGGGGGAACAGGGTGTGGATATGGAACTGGAGGACCTGCTGTCATCGTGCGACGTCTTGTTGAGGTGCGTCGCGGTTGCTGAGAACTAGTTTCAATCTGACTAGTTGTAGGGACCACCGGTTCCTCAAAGTCTTGTGGGGTGTCTTCGTTCTCTACATCTGCAACCTCCTCGATGTGCATTTGTCCTGTTTCATTTGAATCTGGATGTGCCGGTAGGGTATTTGTCTTCAATTGTGTTTGCTGTTGACTGACTTGGTGATTTTCAGTATCATCAACAGTTATCTTCACTCGGCTTGACCCTCCACAGTCCCCTTCATCGAACACTACGTCCCTAGACTCCAATATTCGCCCATTTGACCTCTGCAGGCAGACATATGCCTTTCGATGCTCGGCATATCCTAGATGAACACACTCAATGGACTTTGCGTCAAGCTTTAGGTGTCATTCGTCCGGTACGTGCACATATGCTTTGCATCCAAACGTCCTCAAGTGTGCTACTGAAGGTTTATTTCCAGTATATGCTTCAAAAGGTGTGATATCCCTTTTCAATGCACATGTGGGGACTCGATTGATGATGTGGGCTACATGTAGAATTGCATCTCCCCAATACTTCTTTTGGAGGGAGGCATCGCTGAGCAATGCACGTGCGGACTTGACTAGTGTCCTGTTCATTCATTCGGCGACTCCATTTTCCTGAGGTGTGTAGGTGTTTGTCTTCTCATGATGGATCCCTTTTGACTCTAGATATTTTAGAAATTCCTTCAAGCCATATTCTCCACCACCATTGCTATGGAATACGTTTGCACGTTCACCTGTTTCGGTCTCTGCTCGTTCGAAGTACAATTTCGTAAGTCCAAATGCTTCATCTTTTGTCTTTAGTAACTTGACAACTAGATGGTGCGAGCAGGCATCAATAAATGTCATGAAGTACCGGTATTGACCTTGGGAGGTCGTTTCCATGGGTCCGCATATGTCTGAATATGTTCTGTGCAGAATACAAGGATTCTCGACTTGGAACTCGTCTGGGATAGGTTTGCGGGATTGTTTCCCTTCGAGGCAGGCCTTGCATACATCTGTTTCGTGAGCTGTTGACCCTGAAACTTCCATGCCTCTAACCATATCCTTCCCATACAGCTTCTTCACAGAATTTAGATTGGTATGTGCGAGTCGACAATGCCAAGTCTCCATGGATGCCTTCGATGAGTATGAGCAGGCTGTGAGTGCTCTAATCGGTTCTATGGCGTCTAATAGCTGACTTGGACCTTGAATGATATAGGCTCTCTTGCTGCTGCAAGTCCGTCCTCTCAATATGTATAAGGACTGTTGCCGTGTTGCTAGTGCCGCTATGGACCCGTTTCGAGTGATTGTGCAGGTACGTTGGTCAAAGCTTGCTTCAAAGCCTTTGCTTGTCAACTGTGGCACTGACAACAAGTTTCCATCTAGAGCAGGGACATAATACACCTCCTGCAGTATGGTTCGGCGCATATTCCCTTTTCCAACTTCAACCTCGAGCTCAATGCTACCAAGTCCTGTAGCTTTGATGGACCTTCCA